AGAAAAAGGAACAAATTGTAACCCATGAACCCATTCAAAAGATAATCATATTTGTCAGAGAATCGCCAAAAATATTTCTCCAAAATGCTAATTCACACTCAAAATGGCAGTCATAAAAACAGACAGAAATTTCAGATGATTAAAATTAAGGACCTTCTGCTGATTTTGGTTGAAATTAAGGACTTTTTAAGGACCAAAAATCGATCTTAAGAAGCCGAAGGACTTTTAAGGACTCTTAAGGACCGTACAAACCTTGTAATATTAGAAAAATTGAATGAATGAAATTCTACATAAAAATAAATTAGTAATGCAATGTATATTTTAAAAATATATGTATATATTGGTATGCATAAAAAAGTATATAAATACCAGTTAAAAATATTTTCAGTATTTTATGAGGAATTTATGTTGCATAATAATGTTGATGATCCATAATAATGCATTTATAAAGGCCTGTTTCCACTGCTGCGTATGTGTTGCATTGTGTATGTGTTTCTCCAATCAGCGAGCGACTTCACTTTGATTGACATCTGCAATCCGGTCGTTGTGCGGTGACGGATGACGTACGGATGGAGTTCAACAATATTCAAATCCTATCCGTACGTCTGCGGATGAATTTGGTTCACGTGGTAAAAAAAGAGCAATCAGGTGTTATCACCAAAAATTAATGGCGGCAAAAGTAGCGATAAATGCTCCACTTAGGGAAAGAATGTTTTGATAAAAAAATACTTATTTCCGAATTAACATTATAGCGAGAAATCCATGTGCTGAAAAAGCAATCAGCTGAAATTAGTTAGAAAAGATAAGAAAAATAAGATAACTGTAATAACAGTACTTGTTCGCAGATAAAATCAGGCGTTCAAGAAATTCAGGCGCAAAAACTATAATTCCAAGTCTATGAAATAGCAAAATTTGTTCTGACAATTATTTCCTAGTTCTGCCTACACGTTTACCTTTAATGAAAACGAATGTCTGACTATATCAAACTGCTATCGCAAATCAGATATGATATGATTAAAAGATTTATTTTTTTCTTTTGAAATAGGTAACAACTAAAAGAATTAATTAAATTTGATAGCCTTTTAAATATTCTACTGCATTAAAGAGTATGTTAAATTTGTACTTCTCGATTTATAAATATACTATTTTGGCTAACATATAATTTGTAAGCGCATGGAATATATTTTTAGCAGCCCGTTTAACTTCAATCGAAATGCCACTTTAAAAGATAATGTTTTTTGAAAGAAATGTACTAGAAGCTGAAGAAGAAACTCTAGTGAATTTTTTAGATGATAGCAAATTGAAATAGGACCAAAAATTTTAGTTTTAAGAATTTATTTACTTGATGATGAATATAAGTCAAAATATGCACATCGTTCACATGTCGTGATAGCTTAGTGGTAAAGCTGACGTTAATGAGGTTTAACTTTTAGGGTAGTGAGTTCGAATCCCAAACACTTTTTCCATCCTGTCTGCAACTTTCTTGGCTTTTTGTTCCAATTTGATCTATATTCGTGTTTTATAATTTATTTCTATTATTATATGCACAAAATAGTATAATGTTTCATTTATGATCTTATTTATTTAAATTTTCCCCACAAATATTTTGAAAATTATATAATACGAATTTAAAGCATACCCTGTACATATGTATTTTTTTTTTTTCGTTTCACTTTTATGTAAATGTACATTCATGTGCTCAGACTTTGGGATGTTTCCAGCTCTACAATTAACATGAGACAGTATTAATGCACTAAACATTTAAAAAAAATTACTATAATTGCTTTTAAATTCAGTCCTCTCCAGCAGAAGCTCAGGAATTAATTAATTAATTAAATATTTCTATTTTCTTTACCTAATGTGTGTATATACACATATAAAGAGAAAAAGCTTATTTTTTAACTTCTTCTATAAAAAGAAATATGAATTAAAAATAATATTTTATGAATTATGCATAAAATATAACTGCTCATAGTGCCTTTTAAAACAAACGAGATTTCTAATAAATTATCCAGCTATAATCCTGAAGAAATTAAAAATGAAGAAATCGATGCTAAAATTGTATATATATACCTGCTTTCTCCCCAAATTTGGGCATATTTTACAAATATACAATCTCACATGGCAGTCAGCGATATACAAGCATTGCAAATTTTGTGTAAGTATTGTGAACCTTTCTTTACAGTTGCTCTGTATTTTTAAAGTACCAACTATTTCTTAATTCATTTAACTTTTTTATTTTATTTATTTATTTTTTTCAGTAACAGAACAGTTAGTTATAATAATATATATATATTATTTCATTAATATTTAAGGCTTCTAGAAACACAAAGAAATTTTTAAAATTTACTTCAGCTTCTATGCAATTAGTGACGTTCATAATATGCATTATAATCTTACTTATCTAAAAATTGCTAGCGTACTTTACTGTCACAGTTCATAAGCAGAAATAAAAGTTTCCAATAACATGGAATTTCCTTTCATAACCACCCCGTTTTGCTTCCGTTTCTTTGAAAGTAAAAGAAACAAAACTTTTCTGCATTTTACATCAGGATCCATATCAAATCCAAAACAAACAATACTCACTTAAGCGGGAAAAATTCAGATGTTCAGCATCGTAACTCGTGAACTGGTTGATTGGCGCCAAAATATTACAGTGACACTTAGCGGCGGAAAATAAAAATAATGTATGGATACACGGTAGTGGAAATGCTTGTACGGATGCCGTAGGCGTGTCTTCAACTGACGCAACGCATTCATACGCAGTAGTGGAAACGGGCCTTAACAGTTACAGCAAAAACTTGCAAGTGTTAATTGAAAAACAAAAATAAAAGTGAAATTCGTTTAATGTATCATGAAATCTATTATTAGCATTAATTAATTTTCAATCAGATAGATTTCACATCCATCTGGCCTTCCCAGTATGTATTCTGAAAATATACTTATGCATTTTTATTTAATATTTCTATAGTGTTATTATTATTATTATTATTTTTTTTTGACTAACATGAAAAGCACTATTTGTGCTATTTTAAGGCAAAAAGAATTCATCATAAAAGCAGAAATTTATTAATGTTTTCACATGACTGCTATTTATATATATTTAAAACATTATTGTGAAAAAAACTAAATTTAATATATATTTATCTTAAAATTAGTTTAAGCGTATGGCAGGCAGCCTCAAGTCGCCAAATTTCTCGCCAAAAATGTTTGGTGAAAAACTCCATGGTGCCATATTACCATCTAAATTTTTTGTCTACATTTCGAACTTTAAGCCTAAAATGTCTCCAAAAACGCTGTTTTCGCACATGCGAAAAACACATTTTGATCACACAATTTAAGCTAAAAATCTGAAACAAAAACAAAAAATTTAAATAGTAAAAACATAAAGTTTCTAACCAAAAATATTTGACAAGAATCCATGTACACAGCAATATGTTTTAACTTAAAAAAATATCTACAAATTGCACAATCTAGGCAGCAAAAGAATCTACAAACTACGCACACCTTGCTTTAATAAATTAACACAACAGCAATAAATTTCAAAGAATACCATGTACACAGCGTTCTGTTTCAACTTTAAAAAACATCTACGAATTGCACAATCTAGGCACTATGCACTAATGAACGAAATAAACTAAAACAACTAAAATAAATTTCACACACTTCAAAAAAAAAAAAAAAAAAAAAAAAAAAAACGACAGAAATTCATACTAAAAATGAACATAACATTGTACAAAATAAGAACAAGAATGAAATAAAATGCACTTACCATGAATGAATGCTTTTTCGAACAGCAGAAATACCAATTTTATGCCACCACGTAATCACTATCGTAGTTATATGACAGCCAGACACACTATCCAGAAAATTCATGCTATGGTTAACAAACAAATGTTCAAAACCTTCTTTTCCTAAATCCTTGTAAAATTTCCAGCCATCCCAAAAAAATAGCTGTGCAAGGCTCAATCCACTCTTTAATACACTGCATCAGTGTTTCCTTACTTCTATCATGCACAGCCACTAAAAATAATCTCCTAGATCCTCTTGCAACCACATCTCTCATTGCAACACAGGCCATTTCAAAACAGGCACGACCCGAACCAATGAGCAATTAAAACACTCCAGCAAAAAAGTATTCAACATCAAAAGAGTTGCCATACAACACGCAATCGTTCCATAAACCAGCGCAGAACACATATCGCTACATTTGCTGATCTTAGGGCGCATATAAGAGTACAGCCTTATGTTTTTATGCATACTATAGTTTAGTTTAATATGCCATAGCTACATTACTAATTTATATATAAATACAAATAATATCATGAGCTAAAATCCCTTCTCATGTTGTTTACTAGTTAATTCTTTAAAGCTTTCCGATTTTCAAGGAAATATTTATGAAACTGAAGGCTGAATAAGATACTCTCAAATCTAAAGATCAGCATGTAACTCAACAATGTTATCAGTGGCTTCTTCAGTTTCAGCTAAAAGAAGTCAAAGAATCAGACCTTTAGCACTGTTCTGCAAGTCTGAATTTCTTACTATTGTAAAAAGGATGACTTTAGTAGCAATAACTGTTAGTGTAATATGTTTTCACTTTCAAAACATTGAAAAGAGTGCATTTAAGCCCATCTGCTTGAGTATGTATTCTCAAAGTTTAATAAATATATTTTTGTACAAATATATTTTGTACATTTTTGTACAAATGAATAATCAAAATACACAAAATGAAATTAAAACTGGAAAAACTTAGAGAAAACTAACTATTTCAAATAAAATTTCCGTATTATTAAGTTCCATCTATTTCAATGGATTGAAGAATTATTAAATCTCTTTTGATTTATAAGAAAAAGTTATTCATATGCAACTGAATTATTTTATCTCAAAGGAAAACTGCTGAATTAATATTTTATAATGAAATGAATACTTAAACCACAGTAAAATGAATGAAGATAATGTATACGAATAAGGATTTCTAGAGACTAATCTTTAAAATTTACCTTTTCCTGCTCTAATTCAAAAGCTGTTTTTTGAGTACTTTCATCTTCACGACTTTTAGAAATATCACACTGCTGCATTTTTCCTAAATTTTCATCATTTCTGTTATCATCATTCATTTGATCATTAGAATCCTCATTCAAAACATCATCTGACATGCTCCGATTTCTACTGAAAATAGTTTAAAATTCTGTTTTAAAAATATTGAAAGTTACAATACACAAAAATAACATATTAGGTATGAAAACTTATTTTATGAGGGTGATTCAAATTAAAGTAACAAGAGCTCTTACAAATGTAACAATCTTCAGGTTGTTCACACTGCACAACTTATTACTTATATGAAATACTAATTAAATATCCAGAAAAATATGTGATGTTCTCTAAATCAAAATAATTTGTTAGATATGAAAACATAATTTATGATGGCAATTCAAATTAAAGTAACAAGAGCTCTTATGAATGTAACACTGTTCAGGTTGTTCAGGCCCCACAAGTTGTACACTAATCAAATATCCTGAAAAATATGTGATGTTAGCTCAATGATACATTAATGCAGAAAAAAAAAAAAAAAAAAAAAAAAAAAAAACCTACAATTTTTTACAAATACAAATCTTAAGACATTTTCCATTCTGTGAGATGATCATACTGCAGTAATATGATACAACAAATATCAGTAGGCTCTTAGGTTGCCATAAAAATCAAACAGTTTTTTTAGTGAACCCAGAATAACTCGATAGAATTTGAAAAAGGCCAACTGGCCAGTATGCTTCTCTCCCTTACTGGCTGATTGAAGACTTTGTTTTAGATGATAATAATGATAAGATCTTGATCAAATTTATTTTGGAATGCTGACAATTTTTTTTGTTTTGTTTTGTTTGTTTGTATTGTAAGAGGGCATGTTAAAAATTCTAAACCTTTTTGGAATGACAACATCCAAACTTTGAAAGAGGACAGAGATAAGGCTAGACGTACTGCTGAAATTATTGGCAGATTACAAGGCTGTGTAATTCTTAGACAGAGACATGCCACCTTAAGAATGAAAATCTTGCAGGCTAAGCGTACCTGTTTTCAGACTTTTCTGGGTAATTTGGAAAATAGTAAAGATAGTTCTAAAGCATATAAATTTCTGTCTGCTCTCAATGTCAAGCAACATCAATCTTGCAAACATCCTATCAAGATTTCTGGAAAACTGCTATCATCAGATCAAGATATTGTGATAGCTCTTAATAAATTTTATTGTAAAAGTAGTAGTTGTTATCCTAGACCTCATTTTACTAAAAAGTCTTTGTCTTCTGTAGGTGATTGCCCTGAATGGGACAAACGTGTTAACTCTCCTTTTACTAATGACAAATTCTACATGTCATGAAGCATCTCAAAAGAAAAAACTGTACAGAACCTGGTGGGGTCTAGTCTGAATTTATACTCGAACTTGGCTTTAACCCTTTAAGGAGCAGTATATAAAATAATTTAAATTCTGGTAAAATTTTGCATGAACTACAACTATAACTTATGGACCCTAAGGGACACAAAATTGAAACTTAAAAAAAGATCTGGAGCGAAATCGTAAATTTTGAGAGCCGGTATATATTTTATACTGGTGCCCTTCTAGGACATTTTTTCCCAGGTAGCTGCCAATCTTTAATTTTTGCTTTTTAAATTAATTTTGCGTACTTTTGATGTGCATCTGTAGAGATGGGTGCTTGAATAGAGTTATGTAAGTCTGAAGACAAAACTTATAAAATTTTAAAAATAAATTTATGTTTTTAGCACTTGGATGATGAAACCCAGCTGACATACTTAGTAAAATATGGGAAAAGTTTTTGAACTTGATTTAAAATCATATTATTATTTTATAAAAAAAAAAAAAAAAAAAAAAAAATAGTGAATATGACACGCATGGTAAATCGTATCATGCTACAACTGAACTATATATATTACAAGGAGATATAACAGCCGAAAAATAAAAAAAATGAAACACTGACTCAATGAGAAAGTATGTTGCATTTTTGAAGTCATTTATGCTTTAGATAATATGTAAAAAAACATGGTTCTGCTATGATACCAAAATCCCCCCCCCC